GGCCTGTAGTTCCCAGGTTCCTCCTTCTGGCCCTTCTTGTAGATGGGTGTCACACTGATGATCCTCCAGTCATCTGGGACCTCCCCTGTTAGCCAGGACTGCTGACAGATGACAAAGAGTATCTTGGCCAGCTCCTCTGCCAGCTCCCTCAGCACTCTCAGGTGGATCCTATCCTGCCCCATAGACTTGTAAGTGTCCAGGTGACATAGCAGGCCGTTAACTGCTTCCTCCTGGATTATGGGAGGTTTTATTCTGCTCTCCAGCCCTTTCTTCCAGCTCTGGGGGCTGACCACCCTGGGAATAACCAGTCTAACTATTAAAGACTGAGACAAAGAAGGCATTAAGTACTTCAGCCTTGTTCTCATCCTTGGTGGCAATGTTTCCCCCCGCATCCAACAAGAGATGGAGATTCTCCTTGGCCCTCTTTTTGTTGTTAATGTATTTATAAAAACGTTTTTTGTTGTCCCTTATAATGGTGGTCAGCCTGAGTTCTAGCTGGGCTTTTGCCTTTCTAATTTCCTCTCTCCAAGGAGGAGTTTCGCATCGAGGTGAAATACCTCAGTTTGAACCTAATGAATTTAAACATTGTGGCAAGAGCAACAACAACATGTCTTTTGTTTATATCCTATAAATATAACTACAGAAGAGCTGAGGCTCATAATGCAAGCTTTTGTGGCCTGTGACATGGGTTGCAAAGAGAAGGAATCAACAGTATTCTTCACCCACCAGGGAAAAGAGAAACACTACTGGGCAAAAAAAAAAAAGGGTAAAGAAGATTGAAATTATACACCAGGAAAGCCTTTCATTTCAAAAACAGAGAAGCACAGACATAGAGGGCTTATAGCATCTTCCACAGGAGCAAGAAACTTTAGGATCTGGCATGACCGATAGCTGTGTAAACTGATGCTGATGCTGTGGTGAAGTGGATAGGCAGGTTAACCTGGTATTATAATATGGTGTCATTAGTCTACGAATGCTTCCTTCAGTGCTTCATTCAGTTCATATGCAAAGAAAATAAAATTATTTTATTCTATATATACAGCCTGTTAGAAAAGTATACTAAGGGAGATAGATGCTAGAAAGAAACCTGTGAAGTTTAACGCTGATGCCTTGTTGCTGCAGACTGCTAATGCTGGTTGTCCAGACTCTGTTTTGTACTGTTCCCCCAGTTACAGTAATATCTGTAATGATGTCTGTGATGCACTCTGATACTGAAATGCAGTGTAAAAATCAAACATAGCATATTACATCAGCTGTTCGTGCTGTATCTAGATGCCTTCTGATACTGAGCTACTTTGCATCATGCTACACTGCTGGAAATCTATATAACATTACAGTCACAGCAATTACACGGTGTGGATGTAACCCCTGAAAAAGTCCCTTGCTTTAGGCACAAGACTAATCAGCCTGTTAGAAAGTGACACCTCACAGGTTTCATAAAGAAATCTGTAACCATCTTCCCTCGAAAAAAACACAGTAAAAAAGTCCAAATGTAATTCTGCATCTTTGTGTGTTTTCTGAAACACCTGGTGCAGTACGTCCCATGTAACAAACCTCAAGCAGAATTACAACTTCACAGGTCCCTGCAGTAACTGCCCACAATAAATGCAGAACATCATCTGATTTTTATTAAGCGGCAAGCTCCTTCTATCTGCCACATGGGAGAAGCACTTGCAAAGGACAACCAATGTACTCAAAACCTACTCCCTATCTTAACGCATTTGGTCATGCTTTCATTGCTGCGTTGCCAGTTCAGTCTGATAACTTACTCTCTACAGGAGAGATCCTGAAACAGGTGTATCTCCTTCACCTTCCAAATCCTCAGACTTGGCAAGCAGCCCAGTCACAGATATTGAAGTCCGTGGCTTTAAATCCATCTAATGCGTTTGCACAGAGTCCCATCTGTTCACTGAGCTGCTACCTGTGCTATCAGGCTTCCTTAGCAATTCCTCTTGATAGAGGCACAGCAAAGAGTAGATCCCAAACACAAGTGGAATGAATAATATCCATGCACAATACAGCTTCTTCTGAGTGAGTTTTTCTACAGGTTTTATGTGGAGGCAAATGCAAAAAAACAATCTGTTCCACAATAAGCACCATAAAATAACTAATTAATACTTAAAAAATAAAAAACAGAATATTTTGAAACAAACTAACAAGATGCTTTCAGGCTGGCTTCTTCTATTCGCTTATGCTCAGTTATATGCTAATTGTTTCAGAAACTGCCATTCCCACATTCAATTTCTATAAGAAAAATGCACTTTACAATTTATACATCATTGTCAACATAAAACACACTCCAGAATGTTTGCTCCGATGACGTGCAATGTGCACTGAATGTAAATCAATCTCCCAAAGCTAACTTGATTCCACAGAACACAGGGCAATAAAAACTCTTGGATTTAATAAACTGAGAAAAGTATGGCATAAAAAAATATTGGCTTAAGACAGTGAGTACTTCTCGTTTTGAAAAAGATTTCTTTTCCATTCAGAAGAATTTTAACAGGATACGCCTGATAATCTGCAGCACATTTACTTTTGATGCTGAATCAACCCACATCAGCTCTCAGAAGAGCCGCCAAAACCTGGCTTTGTATCCAATAACTTTTGAATCAAGTGCTGAAAGTAAAATTACTGTTGTGATTTACTTATGGGTCTAACTTTTGTACATAAGTG